CTTGTGATGTATGTTCGAAATCTTGTGATGTATATTCAAAATCTTGTGATGTATATTCAAAATCTTGTGATGTATGTTCGAAATCTTGTGATGTATATTCAAAATCTTGTGATGTATGTTCTAAATCTTGTGATGTATATTCAAAATCTTGTGATGTATGTTCAAAATCTTGTGATGTATATTCAATATCTTGTGATGTATATTCTTAAACTTGTGATGTATATTCTATAATCTTGTGATGTATGTTCGAAATCTTGTGATGTATATTCGAAATCTTGTGATGTATGTTCGAAATCTTGTGATGTATATTCGAAATCTTGTGATGTATGTTCAATGTAATCTTGTGATGTATATTCAATATCTTGTGATGTATATTCGAAATCTTGTGATGTATATTCTATAATCTTGTGATGTATGTTCTTGTGATGTATGTTCGAAATCTTGTGATGTATATTCGAAATCTTGTGATGTATGTTTGATAATCTTGTGATGTATATTCGAAATCTTGTGATGTATATTCGAAATCTTGTGATGTTTGTTTGATAATCTTGTGATGTGTGTTCTACAATTCAGTGATGCGTGCAATAAAATTGCATGACGCAACAGAAAAGTAAGGACAATTTTCATTGGTTAGAAATAACGAAAGTAGCTGAAGCGTCGGGAAAACCATGCAGGTGAGAAAAAACACATCACTAATTACGAGATGCACGAGTGTTGTTCCTGGTGACATGATGGAGATATTTCGGCCTGCTAGGGAAAAAACTCAGTATTAAAACGTAGATGTATTGACAAAATTTGTAGGTACTTGTAACGATATGTCACGATGCTGCATTGTCACTGTCAGATACAGTATTTATACATGCATGCTAAAAAGTAAAATCTCGTAGTAATCAATATAGCAGAAGAATAATGAAGAGTACATACTACAAAAACTGTGCAATTTGTAGCAAGATTAATTTTTGTTTAACAGCTGTTTTTATGACATTTTATTTCGTATTATTACTACCAAATACTGCTACCGTTTGTTAATGTTTAATCCGAGATTCCTCTGACTCTAACCCCCGCTTTTATATTGTGACTTGTGCGCACAAGTCACAATATAAAAGCGGGGGTTATATTTAGGTCGAGAGGAATCTCGGATTAGTTAATGTTATGCACATGGTTATCTTGTACTTGCAAGTAAATGTAACATTAAAAAAAAAAATAATGAAAAAATAAGTCATTTAGGCTATTTGATAATAACATGCTAAATGAACATGTTTTGCTTTTTAATTCTCCTTCACTCAGTCTTTGTATAATATACATTTATTGACTGAGTTCGAGGGCAACATGCGTTTTGTCAGACCCAAGAACCAAACAGTCTGCCTGAGGCCGTTAGGCCGAAGGCAGACAGTTTGGTTCGAGGGTCCGACAAAACGCATTTTGCCCGAGAACTCTGTCAATAAATGTTTTGTTATACCTTTCATTTTATTATATATTTTTTGACATACATGTATTTTGTACTATATTAATGTAACATTAGATCTGTCACTTTTTAAAACCAAAGAATGAAAATGAGATTAAGCTCCGCCCATTCTGTGACGTAAGTGGTCCAACATTTCTCCGAGCGGTCCAACATCTCACTCAGCGGTCCAACATCGATTTTTTATGCCCGCTCAGCAAAACATTAAAAATGTTAGACTTTTTTCTGTATAGATTTGTATAGGCACAATTTTTTAAAGGTATAACAATGTATATTTTTAGATGAGCTGATCGCCAACCAGGAGATCAGAATGATCGCATCTGCTCCTGCCACTTTAAGGATGGTAAGAAGGAGGGGGACCCTGCATATTTTGCATGGAATGAAGGAAAGGCCATGGATTTCTCTGATCCTGAATGTACAAAAAGGTGAAATTATTTTTCAAAATATGACCGACATCATATTTTGGATGGTGGGTGGGTGGAGTTTAATTGAGAATATTTTACTAAAAATCTTTAAAAGGGTACATGTAATTGTATAAACAGAGTAGCTTACAACTGAATAAAAAATAATTCAAGTTTAATTATTTTACAAAGGAGGAAAAAACTCAAAAGTGAGGAGTCCCTGTCATCTTCACAGATGGACCAGTTGCAGATTCCACAAGCACCAAAATGTCAATATCAAGAAAAAGTAAAGCTCATTTAAAACATCAATGATGACAAATGACCAACACTGAAACATTTTCAATAATTTTTAATAATATATAAAGTTCTTTTAACTGTACATGATTTACAATATATTTTCAGTTGATATCAGAGCACAACTACTCAGCATCCTGCACATTTAACTGTACTCAAGAAATGCAGCGCCTCTCAACAGAAATACAACTGGAAAAGGAATTGCTTGCCCTAAAAATAGAGTCTAGTAAAAGGAAGCCAATATCAATCCACGATATTAAATACAACGAAGAGAAGGTACATTTAAAGGAATTCCAATTGTGATTTCCTATTTCCTAAAAATTTCAGTTACTGTAATAAAAACTTGTTGCCATTGAGGGATGAACATCTTAGATTGACTGTTATGTTAACATATTTTGTTATTATTTGGGAGTTTAGGTCTCTGATCAGCAGGGGCATTTTCTCTATATATTAAGAAGAAAATGGAGACTCCCTACCCACCCGATGTATTTTGTCGGACAGTTTTCTGTACATTGCAGGTAAAAATTTTATTTATTAACTTTCCAGCCTCTTATTGTAAAGTACATTTTGGGTTCAGTTTTAGCTTTTCTTTAATTTTTAAAAAAAATTATTTAAATTCTCCTTTTCTTAGAATAAAATTCAAAAAGTAGCTTCTGATTGTAATAAGACTACAGACATTGAACTTTGATTTGTTATCAAAAGGATTGATTTAAACTTGTCTAAATTAATTGTAAACAAAAATAAAAGGGGGCACCTGCTATTTCTTTAAGTGTTTTTCACTGGGGGGTGGGGAAACTTTTTTGTACATACTTAAGCAATAGGAGGGATTAGATAAGAATCAATTAGTATATCAGAGTCTTAAAAAATATACTTTGCATAAGCATAAAAAAATTCTATATCAGTCTTTTTAAAACCTTTGAATATTGCTTAATTAACTATGATTTATCCAATTTTGGAGCTTTTTACCTAATTCTGGGTAGAATCCACCCTTATGAAATTATTGACTCAATTTTGACTTAATATCACTTTATTAACATCAAAGCACAAAAACAATTCATTGTACAAATATTTTATTTATTACAGTCACCAATATATCCAAATATCATCACCGGCCCAGACGTCATTCACTCCTTTGAATTGTGCTGGTAGCAGTAAGGTGTCATCATTTGAGATGGTCACAGTATCCAATACACTGAAGTCACAGGACTCTAATTTCATACATGTTCACAGGTAGGTGTATAGTCTTTGAAATTACCACAATTGACTAATTCTGGGACAGGTAAGTATGTACATGTAAGTATAGGAATGAGAGCACCAAATCCCCGGATGCACACATGGCTTTGTTTGTTATGGAACATTAAACCGAATACTGAATGGGTAGGCGTTACGCCATTGGCTGAAATCAGGTATTTAATTGTTTTCATTTTAAAGTAAAATTAATGACCTTTGAAATAAATGATGGGATGAGGGAATATTACAGAAACTATAGAAATGCCAGGGAAGATTTTAGGAGTGGGGGTTAATTTTTTATGCCGCGTGTTATTTACTGCGAATCTCTATAAGTTGAAAATAACTGCAATTTTGACTTATAAACGCCATGGGACCATATATTTTTTTCAGTATTTTTTGTTAGGGCTTAGAACAAAGTTTGAAATGATGCTAAAGATTTATCTGAAATTGTCATAGTAAAGTACTGAGAGGGCCTAAGGTTTGTATGGAGTTCTATGGGAAAATAATTAGTGGTCTTTTCCCTATACAAGATGCTGTCTGATGGCGTAGTGTAGAATGTAGCGTAGAATGTTTTCCAAGTCGGCTTAAATGCAAAGGTTTGTTTTAAAATTTATCATAATGACTTGCAAAAATTTAATGCAGTTAAATTTATTGTATTCTTGAAAGATTGACTGTAACACAATTTTTTTTACACAATTACAAATAATCAAATTAAATTAATTTTTTTCCAACTTTTTTTCAGGGTCTCTGCCAAAATCTTTTGAGGATTTTTCCTCTGCTAGAGCATCCATGGATGCAAATGAAACAACCCAGGACATCCCAACACATATGGATAATCAGGCCATGGCCTACAGTATGTACAAAAGTTGCCATACTTTTAAAGCAGTAACTTGCGTGCCTCCAAATGGTGCACTTACATTTTGCTCCATGCTGTACCCAGGTTCTACTTCTGATGTAGCTATTGTACGTCACAGCCAAGTTTTACGAAAGTTCAAAGCTGGAGACCTTATTTTGGTGGTCAAAGGTTTCACCATTCATGACCAGTTGCCCCAGGGTGTCTGCTTAATTATAAAAGCTCTTTTATCGACACGAGGCCAGTTTACCATACAAGAAGCAGCACTGTGTTACAAGATTGCTAAAGCACTTATTCATGTGGAAAGAGCCAACGAGAGGATAAAGAATTACGAGATTCTCCGTCACATACCATCTACTTACAGACCAATCTCAACAAAAATATTTCAACTCTGTTCTTGTCTTGTAAACTTGCAAGCTCCACTTTTGAAAGAAATTACTTAAAGATACATGTACTTATTATAAATTTGCATTGGCGTGTGACAGTATACACTAAACAGTGAAGATATTCATACCAAAGTGCAAGGGATAAGCAAATTTTGATTTGTTATCAATGTCAATGGTTATATTTGTTAACTTTGTAGTATGTTGTAATACATGTACTTCAGAAAATGAAAATCCCTTTTGTTTAGCATGGATTTATTACAAGAATGGTTGGCAATTCGATTCTTCATTTGACAATATAATTTGGAAGAGGGTTTACTTATAATTTTAAATTTCTAGTTTAAAGTATATTTACCTTTAAAGCACAACTCAACAAATTCATGTTTTCAACAATTTATCTATTAAGAAAGACAAAAATGTTACATTTTCACTTTGAGAATAACATCTTCAATTCATTAATAAAATGATTCTAAATTTTGATATTCTTTTTTTATGTAGTACATAGATTTTATTAATCATCATTGCTATTTAAAATAGTCTTATAAGCCAGAAGTTTTATGATGGATTCATTGGATTGTGACATATCATATCATACATTTATGAGACTTGGGAACATTCAACAAATTTAACACGATTACCCATTTTCCATTGTTAGAAAATTCTAGAGGTACAAAACTAAGTGTCAAGAAGTTCAAACCAGAACTCAGTTTTCCATCAGTGCTGGAATGAAAATGTTAATGTAGAAATCTATCAGCTTTGGAACATTTGCTGTCCATTCAATGTCTTTTACTATTCTAATCACAATGCAGTCTACTCTTGTCCACACAATTAAGTCGCAGAATGTTTTGTTACATATGTGTAGCTGGCCTTGAATTTGATGATAGTATGGGTGACTGGTTTTCAGGCACAGGGTATCTTGTTTAAGATCTAAAAAAAAATCAAAAAACACTTAAGTTGTGTTATACCAGTACATATCCCCTCCTTTTTCAATATCTTCATACCATATTGAACAGCTGCACTTGTAAATTAATACATGTTTTGAAATCATTTACTCACCAAGATTTTTAATTTCAAAGTACTGGACAATACAGATTTTTATACGCCCGTCTTAAGACGGGACGTATTATGTTATAGGCTTCGTGTCCGTCCGTCTGTCCGTCTGTCTGTCTGTTAGCTTTTCGTTTCCGGCTCATAACTTTAATACTATTAGGCCTAGGATTATCAAACTTTGTCATCTGATGCATCTTGGGTAGAAGGTGTGTCGCGCACAAAAAGTAGGTCGCTCTGACCTTTAATTAAGAAGTTATAGCTAAATATGGAAAAATCCTTTCCGGCCCATAACTAGAAAACTATAAGACTTACAATCATCAAACTTGGCCAGTTTATGCATCTTAGGTAGAAGGTGTGTCGCGACCTATTTCAAGGTCACTGTGACCTTTGATTTAAATGAAATTTTTAAAAAAAATGTGTCTTTTTACTATTCATTTACACATCCCCAAATAATGTAAGAGTATTGCACTGCCCTTATTAAAAAAGTGTTAAATCAAGAAAATACTTATTTTTTTAAAGCATATACTTGACAGCAAATATTATGTATGTTAAAGAAATCCTACCTCTCCCATGAGTGTAATTATCAAGCACTGGTCAAGACTCAAGAAGAATTTTGATAACAGAAAATTGCATGTCAAATTAGAGAGAAATTAATGAGTTTTGATTGTGAGGAGTTCGCTAATAGCTAGAGCATGGTGTTATCTATATCCCTTGAGTATTGGGCAAATGTGCAAGCCTGTTGGATTTAAAATAGCTCTTGCTGGCTAGCCTAAGTTTTAAAATGAATTTAATGAAAAGCAATGAAAACTAATTTAATATTGCATAGTAGACTAATCTTATATTATATAAAATTGTTAATTTATAAAAACTAATTTTATGGGATTGGGGTGGAATCAGCATGTCCATATGAATTTTATATTAAAACCTATCGGACATTAAATGTCAACCAAAAAAAATCTTTGAGTATTTCATATGTTTTTAAAAAAAGTTATGGTAGATAGTGCAGACCCATTCATCTATTGGTATTAATGAGTAGACAAGCATCCAGTTAAAGATTAATTAATGAGTTCAGGCAAGCTGTCTTAATCACTCTGATCAAGCTGTATGATGACCTTTGGGAATTAGACAGAACTGTTGGTTAGTTTATAGCATATGTCATTTGATGGCCAGTCTTTTCTTTTCAAAATTAATTTGGTATAGATTAATTTGTTAAGACTAATTTGATATTGTTTAATATGATGGGCATTTGACAAGGTCTAACACAACCAGCATAGAAATCTATCAGTGATGTAATATTTATTATAACTAATGCCTACATCACAGGGGATGGATAAATATTTTTAGGAATGGAATAATCATGGAAGTTTAGAATCAGGGTTGATGTGATTGCAAGCTTACCAGGTAGCTGTTGAAGAAAATTGTAATTTTTGACGGGCGTATCATGCTGTGGCGCGGCACTTTATTAATGTTATTTACCTATGAAAAATCCTTCAAATTTTGTGCCCCATCTGCTACTGTTGAAGACGATGCTGTATATGGACACTTCACCTGTACAATATCAGGAATGGCGTCTTTGGCTTCTGGAGTTTGATAAAATACACTGCATGTTGGTGGTCGAACAACTAAGCCATCAGGTGAAGCTCCCAACACTCCGGATTCATGCAACCATATCCTTTCCAGAAAAAATTATAATACTACTGAATGCAAACAAACCATAATACAATTGATTTTGTAATGCAAACAAAGTCTAAGTAGAGCTTTTATAATCCTTCTACTTCAAAAAGCAAAGAAGAAGTCTCAATAAGGCATTATCTGTGGTCCCCGGTTACTCGTCAAATTTTAAACTTTCATTAAAAAACTTAAAAAGTAAATTATATTATTCTCTCATGTCTGTAGTATTTGCGTCAACGTTAAAAAATGTCAAATAATTGAACTAGACAACACGCGAAGCAGTGTTTTGAAGGTGGGGTCCTTTGATTTTCATGAATAACAAAAGAAATTTGTGACAGGTACCTACTTCTCGGCTTTCGTAAACATCGAGCGCAGATTTGTTCAAAGTCCAGATTGAAATATAATATGTATATCATATTTATACAGATTGTGTGAAAATATCTTTGTTGAACAACGTTGCGCTCTATGTGTTTTACTTAAAAGTATCATGATTTTGAATCTGTTTGGTGAGTACATTTACATAAGATTAACCCCTTGTTGACCTGCTAAGAATAGATAATATGTCACGTGATTCCATTCCGCCACAGGTGAATATATACCTCCGGAAAGTGTGTTTTCTCTAGGAAGCGACACATGTAGCTCGTATTTGAGAAGTGCAGTCACCAGTTTTTATTTATTAAAATTCAAAACAAGTATTTATAGACATCGAAGAATATCACTCATGTTAAATTTCAAATGATGATTTTCATGGACATATTTTTATTCTCATACATGTATTTATTTATAATTGCAGTTTTCCTGGGCATTGCCAACAACACAATAATATACGAGTATAAATACACATTTAATCAATTTCTTGCGAAAAAGACTATTCAAAGCAACCTTACTCTTTTGTTGTCACGTTTTGGGGTGCATATAAACTCAGAAAAACTTCAAATGTATTAATGCAACTAAGTAGATGAATATTGAGTTCGAATTTCATTTACCGATATTGTGATATCTATTATTAAGAATCCTTATGAAGCATAATGATTATGTTTCTATTTTTCAACAACCGTTTTTGAAAAGATTAAACACATGTATATTACGCGATTTGTACACGCTGTGTATATGTTAAACATATCAAGTGAATCGGAATATTCATTGTGGAATTTAGAGCAAAATTAAGAAATAAAAATATACATACTAGGCATGTAGTATCAGTCGGAGGGAAGACCCCTTCTTTTCAGAGATAAATCTTGAGTTCTTCACCCCCCCCCCCCCCCCCCACCCCCCCCCCCCCCCCCCCCCCCCCCCCCCCCCCCCCCCTCTGTTCAGGATTATTGCTTTTTTTTCTCAGCCCCCCCCCCCCCCCCCCTTTACAAAGAAGTGTATTTCTGTGTGTATTTACCGTGTACTGTGTAATTTATTATTCGATCGCTTTTACTTTTTAAACTGTCATATGGAAGAAAATTAATGGTGATTAATATATTTGATAGATGCATTTATAGATTCAAGATAAAAAAAAAGTGATTAAGGGATTTTCAGGCCAAAAATACCCCAAAGAACATGCAAAAAGAAGGCCCCTCGCCAACGCCAAATTAAGAAGAAAACGAATAGTGCAAGTAAAATTCAAGCTCATTGAATGATATTCTAACCCGGTCATTGTTAATTATTTCTTATCTCATGCTACCGCTAGCTAACCCTTCTTATAGTACCAGATTTAAATGTCTCCGCCCACGTGTATGTAATAGAGAAACCGTACTCTTATCGAAAGAAAATGTTCCGGAATTTGTATGTGCGATAGGTGTTGAAAATTGGCTTTTATTTCTTGATACTCAAAGTCATTAATAATGATTGTAAAAAATTTTTAATCAGAAATACTTTGTTATACACCATGAAAATAAAAATAATACCATATCCTCAAGTATTTTCTGTAAAATACGGGCGAAAAAAGGGACCAAGCTACTATACTTAAGTGGAAAACTCCTTTTCTGGAATATGTTGGTAACTGAATATTTATGCCCCGCCATGAATATGGCCGGGGCATATAGTGTTTGTCATGTCCGTCTTCCGTCCTTCCGTCCCACTTTGTGTTTAGCTCTGTTCAAAGCTAAGTTTCAAAGAAACTATCCAAGATATTTTCATCAAACTTCATATGCTGATAGATATTGATGAGAGCTATGCAACTGCATCAACATTTTTTGACCTTGACCTTTCCTTTGACCTTGACCTGACTTTTCTTAAATAGTGTTTAGCTCTGTTTTAAACATACCATTCAAGATGGTGTTATCAAACTTTACATGTTGATACAAACTTGCATAGATGATGCATCTAGAGATGAACACTATCGGACTTGCTTCGGATGCTGGATCTGACCTAAATTTTCCAGATGAGTGACCAAATTAAAGTTTTTGGAGCAGGTCCGTTCTTAAGAAACTATAAGCCCTACTTAGACCAAACTTGCTTGGATGATGCATCTAAGGATGGACACTACCAGACTTGCTTCGGATGCTGGATCTGACCTACATTTTCCAGATGAGTGACCAGGTTGATGTTTTTGGAGCAGATTTATTCCTAAGGAACTATCAGCCCTACTTAGACCAAACTTGCATGGATGATGCATCTAGGGATGGACACTACCAGACTTGCTGCGGATGCTGGATCTGACTCACATTTTCATTCCCAAGTAACTATAAGCCCTACCTAAACCAAACTTGCATGGATGATGCAGCTAGGGATGGACACTACCAGACTTGCTTCGGATGCTGGATCTGACCTATATTTTCATTCCCAAGTAACTATAAACCCTACCTGAACCAAACTTGCATGGATGATGCATCTAGGGATGGACACTACCAGACTTGCTTTGGATGCTGGACCTACATTTTTATTCCCAACTAACTATAAGCCCTGCCTGAACCGAACTGATCAAATTTTATACATGTACAAATTTCATGTTGCTTTACTAATATATCCTCGGCGGGGCATTCATGTCCTATGGACATATTTCTAGTTTTTTTTTTACAATTAGACTTCAGTAATTGATTTCTGTTTTTTTACCAGGATAAGTCCTGTTATTTGTTTTGACACATTGAATGTTAACATGTCAGAGGTTGAATGAATGTTATTTTGTGCTGTATACCTGACTGCTCTACAGCTGCATCAAAGTCCTTTTCATACTTTCTCAAAGCATCATCTTCATGAGTGATACCCCATGCAACAGCCTTGATGGACTCCAGATTGTAAGCCGACATCAGCTGTTTCTTCAGTGACAATGTCAATCTGGAGAAGAAAATATGATTTTTGGTTATTAATCTTATATTTCCTGCATCTTTATGTACAAATATCTAGTCATTACAGTCGAACCTCATTATCTCAAACTCAATGAGACCAAGAAAAATATTGGAAATATCCGTGGATTCAAGAATAATACATAAAGAGTTATCAAGAATAAAATGTCCCAGTCTTTTATAAATGGTTTGGACTTCAAAATTACTTTGACATATCCATGAAATATGAGATAATGGGTTTGAGATAACAAAGTTTGACTGTAATTTTAAAAGTCTATTTCGCAAAAATTTAATCACACGTCTTACCGCCTTTGCTTAGAACTGAGAACTGCACCAAAGTTGGAAGCTGATATGCTATATTTCCTTACAATCGACCACATTGGGTTGTTTCATTGCCAATGCAGCTCTTTTAATGGATTCAGGGATAATGCATGCTGTAACCATACCATAGGGGTATCAGAATGAACATACTCTGGTGATGTTAACAGGTCTTCAATGAGAGGTACAGGTGGACCAGGTTCACATGGCTCTGGTTCAAGAATCCAATTCAATGCTGAAAAATTTCATTACTTGTGTCATTCTCAAAAATATCATCCATAATATCCATATCACATATACCAAGTATTTATATAAGAGTCCATACATTTCATTTTAGTGAACACTGTCATGGGTTTTTGTAATGTATGCATTACATATCAAATTTACAACTCACTTGCATATATTTGTTCAGAATTGTTCCTGTATATAATTTTGCACGTGGCATTCTTAGTGTGAAAATGCCATGTAAAAATTGGTGCAAATGTACAATTAATATTTACTTAATTATTAACAAGGTTTCATAATGACAGAGTATTTAAATAATTGAAGAATGATCTGATAATTCGCAAGAATATGAAACAAAATATTTTTTTTAATGCAATTGAATAATTTATTTTTCCTTTCAAAAATGTATGCTCATGTACAAAAATGCTATCATATTTATAATATTGTCTTTCCAATTATTCAAAGGTTGTTATTAATATTTATTACATAGTATGTTCAAAAATTGGGCATTATACATAGCCAACTATATTATACTCCTCATCTTTGTACATTTGTTCACAATTAAAATTAACCATCGGTCAGTAACAAAATAACAGTTTCATAATACTCGTAATATAAAAATCAAATCAAACTTGAATAACAACAATAGTAACACCAAAATCATAACTTCCTTCTTATATTTTACCAATTTTTAACCTTCCAAGGTGCAAAAAACACTAGTCACTTTCATCAGAGGGTCGGTTTAAGGCACTTCAAATATGAAGCAAATTTTTTAACAACTGATTTATTTATATTTAATGATTGATCATTTTTAAAAAAAAAAAAAAAAAAACAAGAGGCCCATGGGCCACATCGCTCACCTGAGCACTGTGGCTAGGAAAAAGTAAAAATTGGTTTTTTATTGAAAAGTTTAAATCCAAAAGTAGTCCCTTGACCAATCATGGCTTTGCTTTTCTTGAGAAGGTTATTTTTAAAGAATTTTCCTATATATTTCTATATAAAATTTGATCATCCTTTGTGGCCCCGTCCTACCCCCGAGGACATGATTTGAACAAACTTGAATCTACACTACCTAAGGATGCTTCCATATAAATATGATCAATCAGGGTTTTGCTGTTCTTGAGAAGAAGATTTTTAAAGATTTTTCCTTTATATTTCTATGTAAAACTTTGATCTTCCATTGTGGCCCCGCCCTACCCCGGGGGTTATGATTTGAACAAACTTGAATCGACACTACCTGAGGATGCTTCCATATAAATAGGATCAATTATGGCTTTGTCATTCTTGAGAAGAAGATTTTTAAAGAATTTTCCTATATATATTTTTATGTTAAACTTTGGTCAGCCATTGTGGCTCCGCCCTCCCCCCGGTGGTCATGATTTGAACAAATTTAAATCTACACTACCTGAGGATGTTTCTCCATAAGTTTCATTTTTCCTGGCACAGTGGTTCTTGAGAACAAGATTTTTAAAACATACCATCAAATTTACATTCATTCCCAATTATCTCCCCTTGAATGAGGGTGTGGCCCTTTATTTGAACAAACTTGAATCCCCTTCACTCAAGGATGCTTTGTGGCAAGTTTGGTTGAAATTGGCCCATGGGTTCTAGAGAAGAAGTCGAAAATATGAAAAGTTTACAGACAGACAGATGGACAGACAGACAGACAAACAGCTAGATAGACAAAATGTGATCAGAAAAGAGCTAGAAATGAAACATTCCTCACCACAAAAGCCAGAAGAATATAGGGACCACCACCAGTAACATGTTTCTGGGAAGAACCAAACCAAGCAGAGATAAATATCAATAGTCCTGAATCTTCGAAGCAGGACCAAGTACGAGAATTGCTACAAACACTACTCCGGAGACTTACCTATTATCCTATGATGTAACATACTTTGTCCACTGCAGCTGGTTCCCTCATAAGCTGGTAGCGAAGACAGTTCAGGATGTCCTGTCAACTTTGTTCCTCAACTTCCTGTCTTGGACAGAAAAGCAATAAGTGGAAATCTTTAGTGTTGCCTAGTGACTTTGAATTAAAAAGAAAGTTGCAAGATTGTGAAGGGGGGGGGGGGGGTTCTGATGCTGTGCATTTTAATTAAATGTACGAAATCTGTATTTCACAGTTTAATGCATTCATGTATTTTGTGAATTGTCTTAGGATTCGTGTAATAATTGTTGTTGTTGTATTATTAAGCACTAAATCTATTCAACTGCATGTGTAAATGGGGAAAATGTGAATATGTAAATGATGTATAATTGCAATGTGTAAAATGTGACATTTTCTTATATGAGGGAGTCAGTGTTCATGTAATTTTTTTTTCATTAATTATTTTATTTATCTTGATAAAATTATTTCAATTAACAATATTGTTTTTCTTACCAGTCTGATGAACTCAACAAAGGTTACAGAGGTGAATGGTAGAAATATGGGTATTACAGGTGTCAAAACTCTTCGTTGAAGACCAGACTGCATGCCGCACTGTAAAATCACCATTTTTGATCTTTAAAAGGGGAGGCTACTCCTGAAATCAAAGAAATTGTCATAAAAATGAGTAACCTGATTTTCTTTAGGTCTCACACAAGGAAATAATTTCACTATATGTTACTATATAGCTTTAATTAAATAAATTAATTAACTAGACTCTGATCAGCAGATAATTCATGAATGAGAAAAAAGATTAATGCTTAGACAAAATTTGAGATCAGAAAAAATATACCCCTTAAGCGGCTTTTAAGAAAGAAAATTGAGACTAAACATACCTATACCCCGAAATACACATGGGCAAACAGCCAACACACCATCGAGGAAGTTACATTGATCATGCGTACCTAAAAAAAAAGAGTTCCCTTTGATTCAGTGGCACAATTCTGCTGATATGATATTCCTAGTGCATGAGTCCAAAATTAAAACTGTAGACCTACGTAAAGTTCCTGAAAATGAAAAAAAGAAAAGAAATATTATTGTCTATATATACATCATACATAAAACTACATTTGTTCATTTTAATTAGCTATCTCCTTGCATAAGACCTTTAAGGGTAATTTTATGCTATTTACCATGTGCACTGATCGCCATAAAACAAAAGAAAAAATACCAGCCTTACAAAGTCACTTAACCATGACCTTTGACATACCTTACTAAGAATACCCTGGACAATTTGGTTTAACTTATGACTTCTGAATTTTTAAATGCAGGTTTTGATAAATTAACCATTTAATATACTTATGAGCTCATAAAACTGTTCTTTAAAACTGTATGATAAAGAGTGTAAAAACTTTGAAACATGTTTGGAAAGTATTATCACACATGTGATATTATGGGATAAATTATCACCACAGAAAGATCAAAGAAAATCACTGCAGATATGCAACAATAATTCTTATCATTGTTTATTGTATGTCAAGTCTAGAATATGATATATCATTACAAATATTATGATTTTTAGCCGGGCACATTGCTCGTAGAGCAATGCTCAGCTATTGCGACGGTGAGCAACAGAAAATGCTGCTTCTTCACCGCCAAATTGAGTTTACGAGTAAAAGTATGGTACATGCACCAGCCGCTGTTGAGAAAACAAAATCCATTCAACACCTTAAGAAATAGTAAATTGAATATTTTTATCATAATATTACATTGTTTAATATTTTTTCCTGGCTCCTTTGACTAATATTTTACAAAGTATAATTCAACGGGTGCGAAAGGTGTTAGATGTTAGTGTAGCGAGTATGCAAGCGGATCTAACATCTAATTTGAATTAGATTGATTCTATAAATAAAGGTTGTACTATCAGGCTAACACAAATGCAGGGAACATCATTAATGACTTAATGCAAATCTCCCCGCTGAGGACACATCAGTGCAGAGACGTTTGACCTTAATCTTGCTGCATCGGTGTTTACTTACTTCTGTTTGTATATAAAGCCGGATTACCCCGACACAATACGTGATAAATATTTTTCGCTGTTAATTTCTAGCTATATTTTATTTTATTTTTAAATCTATTTAATATATTATACATGCCATTGAGATATTTTTGTGTGTATTACATATTCTCTAAACGTCTGAACGTGATTTTAAACTGTCACCACAGTCCTTGTTCATTATCCTGTAAATGAGCCCGGCTCAATACATTTACTATAAAAATAATTGGACAAATTTGTGAATGACAGTATTCAATGATGCATAGCAATTAATCTTTTCCAGACATTCCCCTTCTCCTAAAAATTTGTCGTGTTATTTATTTATTTATTGCAAAGTCGTCCCTGGACTAGGGCTACGGTCAATGCAGCTGCAATGGGCCATGCAATTTCGAACCCTGCGTGGTGAGAGTTTGTCCCGAGACACAGTTAGATTATTCTAACTAGCACCAATATAGAATAAATCATACCGATTAATCAACATCACTACAATATGAGGACGTAAAAATAGGATAAAACATCCTTTAGCTGTTTAGTCCAGCAATAAGCCACTAAATTGTTTTTGATGTACCTACAAACAAATCAAATTAATGTTCTTGATTCCCACTTTTCACGTTATGACTGACTTAGTGCTCCTTGATACCAAAACAATTTTTCTATTACCTATAATTTTGACTTTAGGTTGAATTCGTCAATTTCATGCTTGCGAAGTTGTGTCAATGTGTGCATTACGACCGCTCCGGCTACTTTCGTTATTTCTAACCTTTTCTGTTGCGTCATGCAATTTTATTGCACGCATCACTGAATTGTAGAACACACATCACAAGATTATCAAACAAACATCACAAGATTTCGATACATCACAATGATTATCCTTACTTTTCTGTTGATTATAGAATATACGTTTCAATGCAATTTTATTGCAATATACGCATACACTGAATTTTCGTACATCACAAGATTATAGAACACACATCACAAGATTATCAAACAAACATCACAAGATTTACACCACAAGATTTCGAATATACATCACAAGATTTCGAATATACATCACAAGATTATCAAACATACATCACAAGATTTCGAATATACATCACATATACATCAAGATTTTGAACAAGATCTCCTAAAAATTTGTCGTGTTATTTATTTATTTATTGCACCCTGGACTAGGGCTACGGTCAATGCAGCTGCACATCACATTATCAAACATACATCACAAGATTTCGAATATACATCACAAGATTTTAGTCGAACATACATCACAAGATTATAGAATATATATTTCGAATATCACAAGATTATCGAATATACATCACAAGATTTTGAATATACATCATAAGATTATCAAACATACATCACAAGATTATAGAACATACATCACAAGATTTCGAATATACATCACAAGATTTTGAATATACATCACAAGATTTTGAACATACATCACAAGATTTCGAATATACATCACAAGATTTCGAATATACATCACAAGATTTCGAACATACATCACAAGATTATCAAACATACATCACAAGATTTCGAATATACATCACAAGATTTCGAACATACATCACAAGATTATAGAATATACATCACAAGATTTCGAATATACATCACAAGATATCGAACATACATCACAAGATTTTGAATATACATCACAAGATTATCAAACATACATCACAAGATTTCGAATATACATCACAAGATTTCGAACATACATCACAAGATTATAGAATATACATCACAAGTTTAAGAATATACATCACAAGATATTGAATATACATCACAAGATTTTGAACATACATCACAAGATTTTGAATATACATCACAAGATTTCGAACATACATCACAAGATTTTGAATATACATCACAAGATTTTGAATATACATCACAAGATTTCGAACATACATCACAAGATTTTGAATATACATCACAAGATTTTGAATATACATCACAAGATTTCGAACATACATCACAAGATTTTGGATATACATCACAAGATTATCAAATATTGCAACGTTTGACATGCCTCGATCAACTCACATAAAATTTGCCATGTATGCAAACTTACGAAAGATTTCAAACCAAAATAAAATTAAAACTTAAGGTTAAGAGTTCAACAATAATGGTTCCCAAAGAAAGGCCTTGTCCAAGCGAAAATACTTGGGGGGGGGGGGGGGGAGGAGAATGCCGTAGCAGCAAGAGTTCAAATACTATGACCAAGGACTAGAGTATAACATTTTTCAAACGTAAATCAATCTCCAATGTCAAGGTCAAAGTGTTAAAAATGTTGAAACCCAAGGGATGATCTTGTCACAAGCAAATAAACCTGTGAAATATAAAAGCTCTAGCATTAACCACACGAACGTTATGGACAATTTTAAAGTTTTCTCAACAAAAGTACGCCAAACTCCAAGATCGAGGTAAACGGGTGAAAATCGTTGGTAACTAAGGGATGTATTATCACAAGAAATCTACTTCTGTGATACTCCGAATAAAAACCCCTCCCCTAACCATTTATTAGGGACATGGACACAGCTTCAACTGAATTTTTATGCACCCGGATCGATATATCCGAGGCGTATATTGTTTTTGTCCTGTCTGTTTGTCTGTTTATCTGTTTGTCTGTTTGTCTGCCTGTCTGTTGTCAATTATAACCTTCGCCATAACTTTTGAATCATGAGAGATAGAGACTTCATATTTGGTATGCGTACTCCACCAATGAAGCTCTTTCAAATGACACCAAGGTCAAAGACCTTGTATCTTGGCTGTGACCTATATGCTAAAAATAGCTTTTTCGAACTTTCGCCATAACGTTTGAACCATGAGAGGTAAAGACTTTATATTTGGTATGCATACTCAACTAATGAAGCTCTTCCAAATGACATCAAGATGTATGACTTTGTGACCTTGACTGTGACCTATATGCTAAAAATAGCTTTTTAGAACTTTCACCATAACTTTTGAACCACAAAAGATAGAGACTTCGTAGTTGGTATGCTTACCTCACTAATTAAGTTCTTTCAAATGACACCAAGGTCTATGACCTTGTGACCTTGACTGTGACTTATCTGCTAAAAATAGTTTATTGAACTTTGTTGCCGCCGGGCGCATAGTGTTTCACAAACACATCTTGTTTCAACCAATTTTAATGTTCACAATACCTAACTAAGGCATCATTTAATGATCAGAAAAAATTTGAACATCATCTCATAGATTAACAAACAAGATACAGAACTCAAAGTTCTTCATAATGCATACAAGGATCCTGCATTATTTTTCTTTACATATAGAAAATATCATATTTTTAACAAATGAAATTCAGCAAATCACTAGAAACTCTATAATAATAATCGTATTAAGAATTAACTTCTTTATTGAAATTATCTGCTTTAAAATGAACATAATATACATGTGTAAGTATATTAACCTTTGTAAACAAAAACATGACACGAACTCTGTTTACATGTCAAAGGTTTGGAGCTCTATATCAGTCTTGTATCTCAACAACTGAAATTCAAAATTTGATAAAGACCTTGGTTATATATTTGTAAAAATGGAAAAAATAAATTTGAAAATTGTAGCTGAAACTGTGTCAATGTCCCTTTAAAAGTAATGGTCAAGGTTATTTTTTAAAGGTTGATCAAAATCAAAGTGAATTGATCAAAATTGTTGGTGTCCAAGTGATAGTATTGCCCAGAAATCTGAAGAAACTGTAGCTACTCATTTAAGTTGTCTACTTAACATCTTTTAGTTTTTCCGGCCATTTGCATCTGTATCTTGATACTTTAAAACCATATGCTAAGTTCTGTCGATAACAAACTATATCCGATACACAGACTTATGTACATCTTGGTCTAATCTATTTGTGCACCAGGTTTTACATTGCATAATAAATCCATATTGTCTCAATAGTTGCGCGTCAAGTACGTTCAAGGAATCACGGGTTATCTAACTTTAATTAGTATATGCAAATTTTAAAATTACAGATATAACTCAAAAGTTCTGTGTGCAAAAGTAGCAGCTAAAATTGTTGATTAGCATAGGAAGAATAGATCAAACAGAAAGAGCAAAACAAAGAAGTATTATATAACAGGGATATATATACTATATTGGTATACTTGTATTAGTAGGTCTCTGATTTTACACAAAAATGCAATGTCTTGCACTACAACCACTGCAATATTTTCAATCTTTTTATCAAATGATTCACGTAAACATTAGTTACAAACTTAATTTTTGCAATTCAATTTCAAAGTTGTACCTACAGCTTAAATCAAATGTGTTTGGACTTCTGAGTATTTTCTACAATATCCAAAGATTGTAAATATGTTTAGATCAGAATATCGGGAAAATGAAAATGATAAAGACAACGAAACAGTTATCGCTCCCAAAAATCTTAACGCAGTACAAGTCCTGGAGAAGAGGGCACCCGTCCCTGGAAAATCCAGATCTGGGACCAGGTGCCTGGGAGCAGTAAGCATCCCCTGTTGACCGGTGGTCACACCTGCCGTGAGCACTATGTACTGATCGGGAAGACAGAACCTCCCATTATCAAATTCAGTATTAAAAAACAAAGCCTTAACATTTTTTTTTAAACAAGTCAAAATACAACCCAATAGTAGGATATACTTGCTAACAAGGTCATTATAACCTTCAAAGAATTTACGAAATGCTGACTTTAAACGAGATTGGATGAAAAAGTCACTCTAAAACACATAGAAAACATTTAATGAATTTTGCAACATTTTATTAAAAATTAAATGATCATGATTAAAATTCTTCTCTCTACCATTCAATTGTTCCTTATCATGATTGGCTGGGAACATTTAAATTCTATTCAGTATAAAAATGATAATCAAACAATTCGTTTGAAAAAAAAATGTCAGTCTAAAATACATGCCAAACATTTGATGAATTTTTTGCAATATTTTATGAAAGTTTTGATAAAAATGATAGAAATTCTTCTCTCTTTTATTTAGTTTCTTTATATACGCCTTTATTTTAGCATTTTTCCATTTCCGTCGCCAATTTTTGTAGAGAGTTCGAAACATGAGTGAAGCTTTAT